GAACATTAAACCAGATCAGGATCTTTAAACCAGATCAGGATCATTAAACCAGATCAGGATCATTAAACCAGATCAGGAACATTAAACCAGATCAGGATCTTTAAACCAGATCAGGATCATTAAACCAGATCAGGATCATTAAACCAGATCAGGAACATTAAACCGGTTCAGGATCATTAAACAAGATCAGGAACATTAAACCAGATCAGGATCTTTAAACCAGATCAGGATCATTAAACCAGATCAGGATCATTAAACCAGATCAGGAACATTAAACCGGTTCAGGATCATTAAACCAGATCAGGATCATTAAACCAGATCAGGATCATTAAACCAGATCAGGAACATTAAACCGGTTCAGGATCATTAAACCAGATCAGGATCATTAANACTAACAAGGTGTACCTGATGAAGTGGTCCAACCTGGTACTAACAAGGTGTACCTGATGAAGTGGTCCAACCTGGTACTAACAAGGTGTACCTGATGAAGTGGTCCAACCTGGTACTAACAAGGTGTACCTGATGAAGTGGTCCAACCTGGTACTAACAAGGTGTACCTGATGAAGTGGTCCAACCTGGTACTAACAAGGTGTACCTGATGAAGTGGTCCAACCTGGTACTAACAAGGTGTACCTGATGAAGTGGTCCAACCTGGTACTAACAAGGTGTACCTGATGAAGTGGTCCAACCTGGTACTAACAAGGTGTACCTGATGAAGTGGTCCAACCTAGTACTAGAAAAGGCGTACCTGTGAAGTGGCCAGTGAGTGTAACATGTGTCAGGTTAAAATCAGTTTTCTTTGTATTCAGGAATAACATCTGCTAACATGTCAGAAACAACCATCTCACCCACACCTACACCTGCTTTACCTGCACTCAGGATGTTCTTTCCATCATTGCCATGGTGACAGATGGTGGTGGGAGGGGCACTGTGGCCCTGACGACACCTCAGCAGTCTGGCTCCGCCTCCATCTTGATCAAATATCCACACCTGAGGTAAAAATACCAGAAATATCAGAAAGCTGATTTCATTACGCTCTAACATCTCTCTCTCTCTCTTTCTTCCAAAAAACTGTTTTCTTTGCTCTCCTTGTCTACTAAATCACTTAAATTAGTTGCTGAGAGGTGGGGGTGCCTGGTCGGGTGACAGGAACCATCTCGAGCCTCACTCTGCATCATCCACTCAACTGCTTCACCTGTTGGAGACTTATGAACTCTGTGATGTGTGGAGGTATTTCAACTTGGGCACACTGTAAAGATAACCTTTTATCATTGACCAGAATCAATCATTTTTATTGTTTTAAACATCTTAATGTGTTTAGGAACTGTTCCATTAGTCCTGTTGGTTTTTCTGACCATTCGTTTGATTCTTCTTGCTTTTTTATAAAGCCTGTTAAACCTAGCAGTGTTTACTGGCACTTCAATGCTGCTTTACTTTAGGATCAACATTTTATTGTTATTTTTAAGTCTTTTTGGAAGAATCATAAGCATTCCAAAATATACTTCACATCTTTACAGCAGTGGTGGGATGTTGGGAAGGTTAGTATCCGGCTCCTTTGTCAGCAGTACACTCAAAATGTCATTAAAACTTTTCAGTCCTCTGTAAGCATCTTTGAGTCTGAGCTTTTAGTTTTGCAGCAACAACTTGAAGCCACAGGTGAACAACACTATGCAGAGTTAATCAAGGAGAAAAACCGTGCTCTATCCAGTTTGCTTGGGACAGCAGCACAGGGAGCCCTGGTCAGATCTCGCTTCTATCAGGTTGCCATGATGGATACTCCCTCTTCCTATTTTTTGATCTAGAGATAAAAAAATGGACAGAGGAAAATTATGCACTCTTTAAAGGCCGATATAGGAGAGATCTTTACAGATTTGTGTGACATTCGTAAACGTGCTGCTAGTTTTTACAAGAGGCTGTACAACTCTGAGTTTCAACATCACCCAACTGTGGCCTGTAGTTTTTATCAAGGTCTTCCTCAGGTTAAGAAGGAAACAAATGATACACTGTTAATAGATTTTACTCTCTCTGAATTTCAGGATGCTTTACAGTGTATGCAGAGTGGTAAAGCTACTGGCATCGACAGGCTTCCTCTTGATATTTATAAGGTTTTATGGCCAGTGATTGGAGAGGACCTGCTGGCAGTACTTAATGACAGCCTTAAGAGAAAATGTTTACCACTCAGTTGTAGGAGAGCTGTTCTCACCTTACTGCCAAAAAAGGGGATCTGTTATTGATAAAAAAAAAAAAAAACTGGAGACCGCTGTCGTTATTAAGTTCAGATTATAAAATTTTATCAAAGGTTCTCACCAACAGGCTAAAAAGGGCAATGGAAGAGGTGATCCACCCTGACCAGTCTTATTGTTTGCCTGGCAGGATCATTACTGATAATGTAATCTTGCTCAGGGATCTCTTAGAGGTTTCTAAACTCCTTGGCCTAAATGCAGGAATCCTGTGTCTCGATCAGAAAAAAGCTTTTGATCGTGTTGAGCATCCTTAATTATGGAACACTCTGCGTGCTTTTGGTTTTGCTTCTGGCTTTGTGGAACATATTAAGGTTTTGTATAAGCAAATTGAGAGTGTACCCGGTACTCTAAATGAATGGTGGCTTGTGTAAGGGTCACCACGAGGGGGTGTGCTCCCTTCTAGGTGCTTAGAGGTGTCAGACAGGGCTGTGCTTTGTCTGGCATGCTGTACTCTTTGGCCATCGAGCCTTTGTTWCATAAATTAAGGCTTGGTCTTAAAGGGTTATGTTTTCTTGGTTGAATGTCACCATTAAAGTTATCAGCTTATGCTGATGACTTGGTTGTTTTTGTGACAATCAGAAAGACATTAATCTTTTAACAAAACACAGTCTTTTTCTTTGATATCCTYRRCAAAAGTGAACTGGGAGAAGAGTGAAGCTTTCAGTTTTGGAGAGGATCTGGAGGAGAAACTTAAATTACCAAAGGGCTTACTCTGGAAAATGGGGGAGATGAAGTATTTAGTAGTTTATCTGGGTGGTGCAAATTCATTACACAAACTGGGAGAATGTGTTGGAGAAAATCAGACGTCGCCTTGCAAAACGGAACTGGATTAAGAATAAGCTGTCGTACAGAGGTCGAACTCTTATCGTCAATAATCTGATCTCTTCCACTCCATGGCATCGCTTGTCAGTTACTGACCCTCGACCAGGACTGCTATCCAAGATCCAAATCTGGTAGGGATGTCCCGATACCACTTTTTCACTTCCGATACGATACCGATATTACAACTTTGAGAAATGTCCGATACCGATATTGACCGATACCGATATTGACC